GGAAACAGAGGATCCCAGGACCATCAAGAAGGAAGAACATGAATGGAGCATGAGATCCTACCTAGGAAAGTGGTGACAGCAGAGAAGATGGCAGAGGTGAAGACATGGAGAGATAGAGCAGCTGCAGGCTCTAGGCCCATGATCTGAGTAAGGCTGTGTGCTTGGGGGCAGAAAGCAGACTTGCAGAATATGCCCTTAGGACATTTAAATGAATATATATTTTTTGTTTTGTATGTGTGTATCAAATATTTTTGCTTTGTTTATTTGTGAAGTTCAAAATGTAAAAGGAAAGCCACAGGGAAGAAGCAGGATAACTATTGTTGCAGGGAGGGGATTGTAATCATTGAGATGAAACAAAGTGCATAATTTGTTGAATGCAAAGCTGATTATCTTGTCTGCTAAACTTCACTCAATTCACAATAAGAAGTTTGCTTTTATAAGCATTTTTTAAAAGGCAGTATTAGGGTACAAAGTCATTTTTTGGCAAAACATTGAAAAAATATATACTAAAATATTAACAGTAGTTTCTTCTGAAGGGTGATTTTTATCTTATTACTTTGTGAATTTTGGATGTGTTTCCTAAGTTTTCTGAATCAAATTTACTAATTTGCAATTAGAATAAGATGATTAAAAAAATTAAAATCTTGCTTTCAATCTAAAAATAGTAGATTGTGGTAAAGGCTATACATTTATGTATTTTTAGAAGAAGATAGTAAGAGAAAGTCAAAGGAACAAATACACTATCATGGAACTCCTGTGCTATAAAGAGATATCTAGAAATACTGGGGACTCTGTAGAGGATGGATCTGGTAAAAAGGGATGGGGGATGATGGTGGTAGGATTTATGGTTCAATTGTGAGTAATTGTTGGCAGGATTAATTGTGACTGTCACATGTGTAATTGTAGAAGATGTGTAAATAAAAAGAGGAGTAGTTATGTTTCATTTCAAGAACAGAGGTCCCAGGACCATCAAGAATGAAGAGCATGGGTGGAGTGTGATATCGTACCTAGAAAAGTGGTGAAAGCAGAAATGATGGCAGACGTGGTGGCATGGTGAGACAGAGCAGCTGCAGGTTCTAGGCCCCTTCCTGTGTAGATGACAACCTAGAAAACTTTATCGGGCAGTTCTACTCTATCCTATAGGGTCACTATGAGTTGGTTAATCCAGTATAATTGCTCCATCTCAAAATTCTTAATTTAATCACATCTGTAAAGTCCCTTTTTGTCATCTAAAAGAATTTACTCAGAGGTTTTATCGATTAGGATATGCACATCTTTTGTTGTTGTTGTTAGATGCCATCAAGTCAGTACCGACTCATAGTGACCTTATGTACAGCAGAACGAAACACTG